GAACTTCTAGCATTAGAGGCGGACACAATGCCTCGAGACCACACAAGGCCCCCCGACCCCCCCCCCCCCCCCCAACTTGAAAGTAAGTTAGATTAACATGAAGCAGATAAATGTGTCCAGGCGTGCTGGGCTCTTGCATTATGTGGAGAAATGTGTTTAATCAGTAGATCCTTTACACAACGTTCTCGGCATGCCAGAAAGTCTCTCTTGTCTCTGATCTACACTCTAGCCCCTTGGGCTATCACCGCTATTGCATCTTCACTGTCTTGTATTCACCTTCACGGAGGTCTGGCCCTGTATAGTTTTCGGAGAGACTGTGCCCATAGTACTAAATTTACAAAACTATAGGTATAGCAAATACATTATCAGCATCATCATCCCGTAACTCTACGTGTTGTTGGGTCACCAGTTTCTGTTGACTGACTGATCAGCTCTCTCCACCTTTGGCGGTCAGTTGCGATGGACTTCATAGTTGCATGCCTGAGGGCCTGTCCAGTCAGTCAGGTTCTGTATCCAGGTCTTTCTTGGTCTGCCTGTTCTCCTCTTTCCCTCCCTGTTAAATGTATTATGTATAGGTGTAAAAGGTAAAGGTCCCTCCTCCACGCCTTTATGCGTAAAGGGTATATAGGGCTAAACCTATATTTTACAGACCAAACGGCACTTGGTGGGCAATGTGGTCAGCATCACACGAACCATCTTTACTTCCCAGGGCTGTACCCTGTACCCACTCAAGGCTGGGTCGACCTAGAAGTCAAGATCATTTCTGAAGAAATAAAAAGTCGACACGAATGGTTACCGGGAAATAATCTTAGAACAAAGAGTGCTTGTGTAATATTGACCAGGTCATAGATCGATTATAGATCGGTATATACGATACATTTGTCCCAAACATCATAAGCTCCATGCGAGCTAATAGACCGAAATTGCTTGGGCATATTGAGAGAATGTCAGATGACAGAGAGGTGAAAAAATAACTGTAAACACAAGGGAGATGCATGGTCGTAGACCACGAGGCAGACCAAGAAGACGATAAAGAGATAAAGCCCAGACAGACCTGCAAACACTTGGTGTCACCAACTGGAAAAAGAAGGCCAGTCAGAGAGATGAATGGAGGCGGGTGAATTCTGCAGCAATGAACCTCAAGTGCTTGAAATGCCGTAGAAGAAGAAAAAAAAAAGAAGAAGAATCATACGCATATGTGCCACTGGCGTAAAACTGGTCTTCCAGGCGCCTTGATGTCAAACTGTCCAGCATCTTCTCTTGTGGTCTCCCTCTGACTCTGCCTAGTTTTCTTCCGCCAACTTTCCCCTCCTCTACGTTGTGCTACAGTTTTCTCCTTCTCCCGATATGACCAAAGAATGTCGATTGTTTCCATCAGGGGTAGACAAATCAGCTAGCTCTCTTTGCTAGACAGTGTTTCTTTCAAGACATCTTCATTACTTTTTTAATTTGTCCAGGATGTTTCGTTGGTTCAAATGTTTTTAGTAAGCCACGTTCAACCTCTGACTATGTAGCTAGCCTCGTACTTTTGATATCGGTTATAATTAGGACAACAAATTGCGTTGCTGTTTCACTGCGTAGTGGTTGGTGCTAGTAATGTATCTTCTGTACCCATCGGGCCAGCCAGGTCGTGTCCGTTTCCTAGTGAAGGCTTGGATCTGGTTAGCTGATGTGTTCCTTATTGTATCATCCGTTGATTATGTTACTGCCATTGACTGAGCTGTGTTTTTATCATTCGTAAATTAAACCACAACCCCTGTTGCTTCTACATAATGTTTCACTTATTGCGACTAGAGAATAAACTTCTGAAAGAGCTTCGAGCTGGCTCTAGACGCTACGGAACGTCGTGAGGGATAGGCCTCGGTAGACTCAAAAGCCAAAGTGTGCGACATGTCTGCCGATGTCCCTCTGTCGACTGCCAGAGTCTAAATGCCAAGTCTAACACCTGCCCGAATAATCAACCGAAAGCTTGTCACCTTGGTCGAAAGGCAATCCACTGATCTAATTTGCTACCGCAGCGACAATATCAATAATTCTCACACCTGTTACAAATCACCATATCGTCTTGTCCCTGTCCTAGAACATCAAATAAAGTGCAGCAGGGGAAAATCGAAGCCTGGGAGTCATGACCTAGGTCGGCCCACCTTCGGAGATTGTATAGGAATGGTAGCGGGCAGAAACAATCGTCGACGAGGGATCTTTCTATTGATAATGGGTGGACCCCTTCTGTACCTTCTCCCCTGTAGAGTTCTTCTTATTTTTATAGGTGCGCATCTTTTAAAAAACCCAGCCCGGGATTATTTGGCTATTGTGATTTCACCAGGCAATGTTGACATTCAATAGTGTGTAATTGCTCCTGCTCTCGATACCACAGTCGAAACCAACGCAACACGATCTGCTGCCTAATCGTCAGCAGCTGGGATCGAACCCGCAATGGCCTAGCGCGTTAGAAGCATATTCGCTATTTAGAGTATGAGCAAATTACCGTATTTCCTCAAGTAGAAGAGGCGTCAATGTGTAAGACACACCTCGATATTTGGGACCGGAAATTGGAGAGGGAAAAAAAAAATAATAATAGCATACATTTGTATAAGACTCTTAAGAAAGAGAATAGGGGCTTTTGAGCTAAAATGCTAAAGATTCTCAGAATATCTTGGACAAAGAAGATGAGAAATATTGACATCTAAACGGATCTGAACATCCAGGAAGATTTGCTTACAGCATCCTTTCTCGAAAGCTGAAATATTTTAGTCATATCAAGCGCCACGTCGGACTGGAAAAAATTGTAGCAGAAGGCATGGTACCAGGAAGGAGGGGCAGGAACCAACCGACACGAAGATGGGTACAGGATAAAAGTGACTCCTTGAGTGTGAAAGTGCATGAGGCAGGAGAACTGGTGAGAGACCGAGTCTCTTTAAGACAAACTTGTGATGAGAGCGACGTTCTGCAAAGAACCTGCTACACGATGATGCATAAGATGCCCGCTGTGTTTGGATCCTATATTTTTGGAGAGAAAAAAAAAGTGCGTCTTATATTTTGGAAAATATGGTATTCTCATTGTTACCAACTCTTTTCACCAGGATGACAAGAGCAACGGACAGTCTGTAGCACCTCGCTGGACCATCATGGAGGCTCCGGTTGCCGACAACGGAGAGAAGATCCCAAAAGCTGGAAGGACTGCGGAGGTAAGGTCATATATGGAAGCGCTTGTATGGTACCCAGGGGTAAAGACATTAGTGCTGACACAACTGTTTTAGGAATGTCGATTTAAGGACAATAGTGTAAACACTTGTTAGGACACACAGTTTAAGGAAATTGGTGTAGAAACTTGTTAGGACATAGAGTTTAAGGACATCCCTGTGTGGGTTCCGGGGCCCCATCGTGGGGAAAACAAGAATAGACCCACTGCCTCCACAAAAGCATGTCGTAAGAGTCGACTAACTGGGGAGCTTCCTTTGAAGTCGGAGTGCAACTGCCTGAGAGGCAAGGAACCAGCAGTCTGCATTCAATAGAATCAGATCTGTAAAACTGATGCACATGCAACACTCAGGTTCTGGAGCAGGACTGCAGTCCAGAAGTGGACGAACAACCAGAACTTCACGCCAGAATGTACAGCTGGTGAACGCAAAGAAGAAGAAGAAGAAGTTTAAGGACATTAGTGTAGACACTGTTAGGACATAGAGTTTAAGGACATTAGTGTAGACACTTGTTGGGACATACAGTTTAAAGACATTAGTGTAGACACTTGTTAGGACATACAGTTTAAAGACATTAGTGTAGACACTTGTTAGGACATAGAGTTTAAAGACATTAGTGTAGACACTTGTTAGGACATAGAGTTTAAGGACATTAGTGTAGACACTTGTTAGGACATACAGTTAAAGGACATTAGTGTAGACACTTGTTAGGACATACAGTTTAAGGACATTAGTGTAGACACTTGTTAGACATACAGTGTAAGGACATTAGTGTAGACACTTGTTAGGACATACAGTTAAAGGACATAATTGTAGACACTTGTTAGGACATACAGTGTAAGGACATTAGTGTAGACACTTGTTAGACATACAGTTTAAGGACATTAGTGTAGACACTTGTTAGGACATACAGTTTAAAGACATTAGTGTAGACACTTGTTAGGACATACAGTTTAAGGACATTAGTGTAGACACTTGTTAGGACATACAGTTTAAAGACATTAGTGTAGACACTTTTTAGGACATAGAGTTTAAGGACATTAGTGTAGACACTTGTTAGGACATACAGTTTAAGGACATTAGTGTAGACACTTGTTAGACATACAGTTTAAGGACATTAGTGTAGACACTTGTTAGACATACAGTTTAAGGACATTAGTGTAGACACTTGTTAGACATACAGTTTAAGGACATTAGTGTAGACACTTGTTAGACATACAGTGTAAGGACATTAGTGTAGACACTTGTTAGGACATACAGTTTAAGGACATTAGTGTAGACACTTGTTAGGACATAGAGTTTAAAGACACTAGTGTAGACACTTGTTAGGACATAAAATTTAAGGAAATTGGTGTAGACACCTGTTAGACATACAGTTTAAGGACATTAGTGTAGACACTTGTTAGGGCATACAGTTTAAGGACATAAGTGTAGACACTTGTTAGGACATACAGTTTAAAAACATGAGTGTAGACATTTGTTAGGATATACAATTTAAGGAAATTGGTGTAGACACCTGTTATACATACAGTTTAGGTACATTAGAGTAGACACTTGTTAGGACATACAGTTTAAGGACATTAGTGTAGACACTGTTAGGACATACAGTTAAAGGACATAATTGTAGACACTTGTTAGGACATACAGTTTAAGGAAATTGGTGTAGGCAGATGGCTGGGACAGTCTACCTGAGGACATTGGTGTAAACATGTGTTTGGGACTTCTACGTTTAGGGCACTAGGAACGTGACTGAGGCTATTCAACGGTCGTTTAGTTGACTACATTTTACTTACATATTTGTAGGTCGGTATAGTTCTCCCAATGGTGGCCAACTCACCCACTGACGAGGAGAGAAATCACGAAGGCGATAAAAAGTTCGATGATGTTTCTAATGGCGATAACGGTAAGTTCTTAATGAATGTCTAAGAAACGCGATGAACATTAAAGGCAGGTAGGTGTTTTGATGGAATACAAAATCGTCACGTTCAATCAGCATACCTAAGCGGGAGACAGGTTATATATAACTGTGTCTGGGTTATGTGCGCCATATACAATGGCCTAGCATTGCACGTCACAAGCTAGCTCTCAAAAGGACTCCTACAGCGTTGATGCAATCTAAATACAGTTCCGACCCGCGACGAAGTCGTCTACCGGTGAGCAAATCAGTGAATCAGCTGCCGATTAAAACCCTCAAAAATAAAAATAAAATTATCCCTGTGTCAATTCCAGGGCTCCCTATTGATGTAGTATTTTTATTCTTTGGGGGTTGGGGGGAAGCAATTTAAGTTTGGACGATGAATATCAAAAAAGATATAAAACCGAATGAAATGTATATCAGCAAGCTTCACAATATAACAAACACAAACAAATCGTGAAAGTTGCGGCTATGGAGCCTTCATCAGCACAGAAATAAATAAAACAATACCACACAAAAACAAAACAAAAACAAAATCACTTCGCTTAGAATCTCAAAGCAGCCAGGTCGATGTCTTGCCAGTAGATCAATGAATTAATGAATCAAAAACTGACATCACTGCACTCAGGATTTTCAAACACATGCTCCATCTCCTTGTTCAGTAGCCAAGGAAGAGTTGATATGCTAACAGTACTAGCTGCAACCTGATCAAAAGTCAGCCTATGTTACCCGCGTCTGTGGCTAAGGTGTTGCGAACGCGTTTCGTAATGCCTGGGTGCCGGGTTCGATCCCAGCTGCGGACGATTTGCCTTGTGTTGGTTTCGACACTGGTACCGAGAGCTGACCGTTGAGTAAGCAATGGCAAACTACTTTACGTAAAATTTGCGTAGAAAAACCACAACAGACAAAATAAATGCTGGGGTTGGTTCTGCAACGTCCTGTAGAGAAATACGCGACTATGCTACTGACTCATTCTTGCAAATCTGTCACATCCTCTACTCAGACCCCGTTGAATGAGTATTTCAATATTTGATTCTGTGTCTGTGCTACTGCACTGTCTGTCTGATTCCAGAGAGCCAAATTTGAGAGAGAAGATGTACGGACTCGCTGTCCCCCCCCCCCCCCCCCCAACAAGGGGGCTGCCTGTTCTCGAGGTATGGTGTCCGCTTCGAGTGCTAGAGGTCCCGGGTTCAAGCCTAGGTAAAGGCTGGGATTTTTTCTGTTCACGTCGACTTCTAGTAACTTCCCCAAGTCTCTGGGTAGTGAGATGTGACGGACGCTCGTGCTTACTGTTGCGCACGTAAAAAAAATCCCTTGGCAGTTGAAAATTCAAAAGAGTAGCCTAACGGTGCTGCTAGAGCAAAATATGGAGTTTAAAAAAAATCTACCCAAAATATTTCAGGATCCTCGCCGGTGCTACGGAGCCTGTGCACTGCGCTGAGCTACTTCGGACTCGGACTTAAGTCAGAAGTAGAAGGGAGCACTTAAGGGTTACTACCCTTGTGCCATGATGTTGATCCGTTGTTCAAACGTCAAACATACTCCCCTACCCCCACCACCCCCACCCCCTTTTTTTTTCCTCCCCCTAACGAGTATGTCGAACACAAGCGACTAATTTGGGGATTGCTAAAATCAAAAATGATAGGCCAGAAAGCACATAGATATGGCAGCCTTGCTGTAAACTAAACTACAACGTTTAGGTTTAGATGTCGGATCAAATCATAGATTGTCATACATCATTTCACCACCAAGTGGTGCAGAACAGACCAATATATCTGCATGCTCGTTTCCCAACACACCTGCATATCCTGCAGAAAATATCCAAAAGACGCTAACTACCCGGGACCTCTGAAGCAATGCTTGTCACTACTCCTAGTCCTAGTCCTTTTGAGAAGAAAAAAAAAAAAAAGCTCCACCACGTTCTGACTGCTGCTAGCTAGCTAGTCGAGCCGATGCTGCTAGCAGTCTCCGCCTATATTTGTGGTCTGGGTTATTTGCGTCACTTTCGTGACTGAATTCTATTGTTTGCGCCATTTCTGGGATTGAGGCTTCCATCCGAATCAGACCGCTCGTCCTCCACCCTGTTGTTACTTGTGCATTTCTTCCCTCGTCTTACTTAGTGTTTCCAGTTTGTGTTGTTTCCCTTTGATTTGGCCAGGCGTATTTCGTAGGGGGCGCGCTTTTCCACACAACGTCTTTTGGACCACCGCTTGTCACTATATCATGAACTGAAGGCGGATAGAAGATACAGACCTCAACGACAACAGAAGTAGGCTGTCATGTCTTGCCGTCTCACTCGATAACTGAAATCTCGGATCAGATCCGTACTTTTGTCACACCCCCATCCATAGAGCGCAACCACCCAGGTAGTTATCTCTTTTTTGGCCTCCCTTTTGCTCTTTTCCCACCAGTCTTTTCAGTCGTCACCAAGTTTCCTAGTTCAGTGGCTCACAACTGATAACAATCTTTCTTGGGAGGTTCAAATGGCTTTGACACACTAGCAGGATGGAGCATGTTAGAGTCTTCAAGCGAATTCCTTATGGTGAATTAAAGACGAACAGAAGACAACGAATTCTGCTACTGTAAACAATATGTGCAAGAGAGACATGAGAGGTACAGCATAAAGTCGTCTCCATGTGGGATGACATTTTTCGTTATTTAAAGCCCCACCCTGGCTTTTGCTGTGGGGGCCTGAATATAGCCGGGCCAAAAATATGGCCTAACGACTGAGAGGGATTTCTGAAACCTCTCGGCGAGTGATACTCATCCGCGTAGTGGCACTTTGTTTCACCGGGTGTTTATTGCTGGTGTGATGTCCCAATGGGGTACACACACACACACACACACACACAGACACACACACAGAGAGAGAGAGAGAGAGAGAGAGAGAGAGAGAGAGAGAGAGAGAGAGAGAGAGAGAGAGAGAATATGAGAGATATAATTATAGAAGTAGATTCGCGCGAAAGGATGTATAGAGCTTGTTTCATATACAGGCGGAGAGATCAGGAAGGAAATACAGATAACAGATCACACTACTACAGATAGGTTAACACCTGAGCGTTTGAGAAGCACATGAAATTGCTGCAGACAACCTTGCGTTAGTTTCGAAGCAGTATTGAAAGCTGACCGTTCAGGACAATAGTAAACTACTAAATGTAAAATTACCTAGTGGGAGAGAAAAAAAGTTCTCTGCCGTTGGTTATAAATTTTCTGTTACGTAAAGTAGCAACAATGATGCTGAAATTACACGCTCTTATTGTCGAAGACTTTCTTTTTTAACGCCAGTGGGTCTTGCTAGTCACACTCGCCATCGCCGTGGGCTATTATTCGTATGCTTACTTGTAGCACAATATAACTTTGTAGTCATGGAAGACGTGAATGTGGCAACAAAATATACATATGCTGTCTGCTTTTCTATCTATAAACTCTCTATCTGTCTGTAAGTGTCTACCCGTTTTCATATCATCACCAGGTGCCTTGCCGACTGGCTTGGGTGATCATGCCTCTCCATAATCTGCGATCTCCTGCAGCATGTATCAGTTCGTGTGCTGACACACCTCCATGCCATGCAACAAGACTGTCAAGCATCTTCTCTCTTTCTTTCTTCTTCTTTTGTCAAAATCTGCTTGTGCCGCTAGGCGTCGCAGTCTATCAGATGATCGGCAACCGAGCCAGGGCGCGCTCAGTCGCTTCATATGCCGTGATGTTATGAAGTCTCAAGTTGTCCGTGACTCCTTCAATCCATATTCTTCTTGGTCTTCCCCTGCCTCTTGTTGTTTCGATTTTCATGTTGTATGCTCCTGATGCTGGCATCGTTGGTTCCATTCTCATTAGGTGACCAAACCATTTCATTCTTTGCTTCTCAATAAATTTAACGATGGGTATGGTTCCAATAGTTCTTGTAATCAAATCGTTTCTCACTCGATCTCTTCTGGTTTTATTCGCAGCCATTCTCAAACATCTCATTTCACAGGTGGTTAGTCTTCTCTCATGTTCTTTTGTTAATGTCCAAGTCTGACATTGATAACCTAATGTCGGTATAAAGATTGTATTTATAATTTGTCTTTTTATCTCAGCTGGGACAGCAGGGTGTTTTAAAATTGGGGCAAGCTGGTATGCGACATTGTTGGCTTGTTGGATTCTTGCTTCAATCTCTCTGTCTATTTTACCATTGGATGTAAAGATACTTCCCAGGTATTTAAATTCTTGCACTTGTTTTAGGCTGTGATCTAGAATCTTTATGTCGATGGTCTGTTGCTCTCTACTTATGCTCATGACTTCTGTCTTTTCAGTATTGATCTTCATATGATGCTTGAGGCAACTGTAGTAGGTTCATGTGGTCTTGCAGCTGTTTACTATCACTGTGAAATATGCATTGATCGTCGGCAAAGAGCAGCTCATTGAAGTCCTCCTGTTTATCGACATCTGTTGGTGTTATGTCTATTTTATTAATATTGTCCATAAATATTATGAAAAGTAAAGGTGATAATACACAACCTTGTCTTACTCCTGATGTTACTGGGAACCAGTTTGTGATGCCAGCTCTTGTTCTAATGGCGCTTTCACTTTGTCTATAAATAGCCCTAACACAATCTAAAATTGTTCCATTTATACCGTAGTTTTCAAGAACTTTCCATAATAAATTATCTTCTCTCTTTGTCCTTCTCTATTCCTCCTTCCATATACAGTCATCAAATGGTGTGTGTGTTAATGTGTCTGTCTGTACTTGTATCTATATAAATATATGTATATCTGTCTAAGTTACTATCTCCCTAACTTTATGTCGACTGTTACATTATCATTTCTGCAGGAAAAATAAATATACTGTACGTTCTTCATTTACAGTTCTTCCAGAGAAAGTCGACTCTCCCAAAGAACCAACTCCATCGCGTGGTTCTGACGATCTGAACCTGCCACCCAGAGAGCACTGGGAGAACAGGTTCCAGTTCCTTCTCTCCACCATCGGATACGCCGTAGACTTGTCCAATGTCTGGCGGTTTCCTTTCCTGTGTTACAAGAACGGAGGAGGTTAGGAGTACAGTTGTTCTATACATGTTTTATGATGTTTTCATGAACATATATTACCGCTTTGTTTACCAATCAACTCAACCTATGTTAATTAAATAGCTAAAAGCCAGTACATATCTTTCACCTTTCTTTTATAGTTGTTACCTTCGACCATGTGCTAGAGTGTTACCTTCGACCATGTGCTAGAGTGTTACCTTCGACCATGTGCTAGAGTGTTACCTTCGACCATGTGCTAGAGTGTTACCTTCGACCAGGTGCTAGAGTGTTACCTTCGACCATGTGCTAGAGTGTTACCTTCGACCATGTGCTAGAGTGTTACCTTCGACCAGGTGCTAGAGTGTTACCTTCGACCATGTGCTAGAGTGTTACCTTCGACCATGTGCTAGAGTGTTACCTTCGACCAGGTGCTAGAGTGTTACCTTCGACCATGTGCTAGAGTGTTACCTTCGACCATGTGCTAGAGTGTTACCTTCGACCATGTGCTAGAGTGTTACCTTCGACCATGTGCTAGAGTGTTACCTTCGACCATGTGCTAGAGTGTTACCTTCGACCATGTGCTAGAGTGTTACCTTCGACCATGTGCTAGAGTGTTACCTTCGACCATGTGCTAGAGTGTTACCTTCGACCAGGTGCTAGAGTGTTACCTTCGACCATGTGCTAGAGTGTTACCTTCGACCATGTGCTAGAGTGTTACCTTCGACCAGGTGCTAGAGTGTTACCTTCGACCATGTGCTAGAGTGTTACCTTCGACCATGTGCTAGAGTGTTACCTTCGACCATGTGCTAGAGTGTTACCTTCGACCAGGTGCTAGAGTGTTACCTTCGACCATGTGCTAGAGGGGCTCTCACAGAGAAACAAAAAATAGTAAAACTTAACTCTACCAGGCATGTCGTAAGAGGCGACTAAGGGTAGTGTTGGGTTTGGAGTTGCCTCATCCTGTGAAAAGCCACAAAAATCAACCAACCATGGACAACTCAAAAACAGAAACAAGAAACATCCAGCCAACTAAGATGAGGGAAGGCTCTTCTAACAGAAGAACGTTGACACGGTGCGGAGAAAGCCGAAAGGAGTCAGGGTCGTCAGAACGGTGAAGTGAAAAAGATAGGACGGTAGTAGTGTATAAGTCGTTTAGAAGCTGCAAACGGGCAAATCGATCCCTCTTTATCCTTAGTAAAAGATGGCGGCCATATGTGATTGGTTTCTCTGGGAGGCTATAAGCCTCCCTCTTTATCCTTAGTAAATATCGATCGGGCAGCCTCCCTCTTTACCTTAGTAAATATCGACCGGGACCCTGATGACGGCACAAGTGATTGGTTTTAGGGGAGGGGAAAGACATATGGTGTATAAATCGATACATTGCATTGTCGCCATAGCAACTGGTGACTCATTGTCGGTATGTCAGGCTGTGGGTATTTTTAGGCGGAGTGATTTAAGGAAGGCAAATCAATATTTCTCTAGTAATATTGTTCGGGCTGGCAAATCGGTACTTTGCAGGCGCATTATTATCTTCAAAGCTGTGGACGACAGGTGGCGTTTGATTCGTCTGTCGATGGAGTTATATAAATGGCAACGTCTGAAACAATATTCAGTTGAGCAGCGGGGCGGGCGGGGCTGGGGACACGGGGCGACAGGGTGACTAATAGAGTTGGTGCGGGCTTATGGGTTCTGTAATAGACAACATTAGGAGTGGTTTGTTAGCGGGGGATATATATGTTACAACAATTTAGGGGATATGAAAATAGACTTAAAGGCGGCAGTGACAGGCGGCAGAGGGGAGCCGTTTTAGGGTTTAGATAAAGAAACCTATGAATGCGGCTTGATGACCCTGGATATATGAGAAAGGGCGGCTCATGCACCAGCATCATCATTTGTGCCATGGAACCAAAGGTCGACCACTTAGGGATGGTTTGAGCTGTAGTAAAAAGGAGAATGTACGATATAAGGGTGGGTGTCTTGTCATAGTGTTAAGGACCGAAGAGAAGAAACATAATTGGCAGACTATCTGACTTTATAAATAAGTATTCGAAAGTTCTGATTGGTCAGTAGGATTCAGTGGTAATTCTGCTGGAACAGTCGGGTTAGGAAAATTCGTCAGTCGGTGTCGTTCCAATTTTTTTTTCAACTGTTGGAGTCGGAGGTTACCTTGCCATCTTACAAAAGAATAACGCGACCTGATATTTTGAGAAAGACGAGGACGCAGCAACCGTTGGTTTTAGGCACAGCCCCTGCGACCCGTCTTGCTCAAAATATCGGGTGGGCCAAGCGATACCCGAGACTGTTTTTCTAAATCGTCCCTTTAAGTTTGTGAAAATTCGCACAGTCGTGTATGGTACCACTATGGAAGCGACTATAGGAAACAGTTTCGTCGGGCAGTCTGTCAGTGGGATGCGTAGTTTATTAGCCGGAGACGACAGCCTTTTTTGAAGAACCATCGAAAAGCTTTGTGTGTTTACAGTAAGACAACCTTTCCTGTTACATAACCTGGTAGACGATCTGGGTAACAGGATTGGACATCTAGTTTCAAGGGCGACTAGTTGATTAGCAGCGTTTGTACAAATACAGTGGAAGGAAATGACATTGCGTCTCCTAAAGTGGTCAAGTGGTAAAAAATATCGATCGATTTAAGGCGTGTCAAGAAAAGTGGGACAGTTTTGAAGCCCTTTGGTATGCCCAGTGAAACAAAATATGTTAGTAAAAATAGCGATAATTTTGTCACAGTGTCGTTTTCGTATTTGGTAAGAGTCGTGCTGTGTTTCTTAAAAGGAGCCCAATGTTGTATATAAAGTTGCCCCGTGCTTTATCAAAGTCATCTTACATTTCGTAAAAGTCACCCTCTTTCTAACAGTTGTCTCGTATTTTCTACACGTTCTAAAACCAATCACTTGTGCCGTCATCAGCCTACCGATCGATAAAGAGTAAAGAGGTAAAGAGGGAGGCTGCCTGATCGATATTTACTAAGGATAAAGAGGGAGGCTTATAGCCTCCCAGAAAAACCAATCACATATGGCCGCCATCTTTTACTAAGGATAAAGAGGGATCGATTTGCTCGTTTGCGTCCTCTAAACGACTTATACACTACTGACGGTCATGAAGTGAGCTGCATGTAACAGCGAAAGATAGAACAACTTGACATGAGTTGGTTGTGTGCCTATGGTCGATTGAGGGATAGAAGGCAGAGAAAGAAGAAGAGAAATTGTTACATTAACTCAATAATGTGAATTGTTAGTTTTACTCCTTCTGCCATTAGTGTTATTATTTTACCTTCTTCAGAGAAATCATTTGCTACATTAAACTAGAACTTCTCCTGCTATGAGGAGTTAGAGTAAATATATGGTGATTGATACTGAAAGGAATAATAGGAAAAGAAGGACATCTGCATAGTTTAGGCAGGACATTCGAAGTGGAAAACTACAGAACAATGGGACAGCTGGAAGGCTGGAGGGTAAATAAGGCATATATAGACAAAAATAAAAGTCGTTTGAAAGTGGAGAATCACGGAACAGAAGAAATGATTTCTCGTAAATGATTTACGGTGCTAAACACGAAAGATTGTAGACAAAGGTGATGTCCAGACATTTAGGAGATGGACTGTCAGACTGAGTGGAAAGGTGGTGGGCGGGGGGGGGGGGTGAATTGAGAGATAAAGAAAGAGCGAAACAAGAAAATAAACGAGGGCCAAATATGATCACTCCTAATAAACCAGAAAAAAGAAATTAGTAACCACAAGAATGAGGTGTCTTAGAAGGGCTGCGGAAGTGTACAGAAGTGATTACAAATTCAGCAATGAAGTCAAAGGGAAAAAAGTCGGCAAGTAGCCAGTAATAAATTACATTTAAATAAATGTCACGCACTCGTTGCACCAGTTGCAGCCTCATTATAAATACACCCCTCCCCACCATGCATGTTGAAGCTGTCCAGCTTCTCTGCTAAATAAAAGCCTTTTGAACAGTCTATCTATCTATCTATCTATCTATCTATCTATCTATCTATCTATCTATCTATCTATCTATCTATCTATCTATCTATCTATCTATCTATCTATCTATCTATCTATCTATCTATCTATCTATCTATCTATCTATCTATCTATCTATCTATCTAATCTAATCTAATCTAATCTAATCTAATCTAATCTAATCTAATCTAATCTAATCTAATCTAATCTAATCTAATCTAATCTAATCTAATCTAATCTAATCTAATCTAATCTAATCTAATCTAATCTAATCTAATCTAATCTAATCTAATCTTATCTAATCTTATCTTATCTTATCTTATCTTATCTTATCTTATCTTATCTTATCTTATCTTATCTTATCTTATCTTATCTTATCTTATCTTATCTTATCTTATCTTATCTTATCTTATCTTATCTTATCTTATCTTATCTTATCTTATCTTATCTTATCTTATCTTATCTTATCTTATCTTATCTTATCTTATCTTATCTTATCTTATCTTATCTTATCTTATCTTATCTTATCTTATCTTATCTTATCTTATCTTATCTTATCTTATCTTATCTAATCTTATCTAATCTAATCTAATCTAATCTAATCTAATCTAATCTAATCTAATCTAATCTAATCTAATCTGTCTGTCTGTCTGTCTGTCTGTCTGTCTGTCTGTCTGTCTGTCTGTCTGTCTGTCTGTCTGTCTGTCTGTCTGTCTGTCTGTCTGTCTGTCTGTCTGTCTGTCTGTCTGTCTGTCTATCTGTCTGTCTGTCTGTCTGTCTGTCTATCTATCTATCTATCTATCTATCTATCTATCTATCTATCTATCTTTCTATCTATCTATCTATCTATCTAATCTTATCTTATCTTATCTTATCTTATCTTATCTTATCTTATCTTATCTTTTCTTATCTTATCTTATCATCTTTTCTTATCTTATCTGTTCTAATCTTTTCCTTTCTTATATGTCTGTCTGTCTATCTGTCTGTCTGTGTCTGTCTGTCTGTAATTCTGTCTGTCTGTCTGCCTGCCTGTCTATATACAGTACCTGACACAAATTGTTTACTTTCTTTGAGCCCGTCTACAAGTATTATGTCAAAATAATACTAGTCAAAATAATAAGGCTGTGAATCCTCGACAATTAACAAACTAGCCGAACAATATCTTGAGGCCTCGGAGATATGGGTTTACGGAATAATCCTTAGAATTCCTTGGACAGCCGAGATGTTTAGAAAGAGGCAAAGGCTCAAAGAAGAAAAGAGACAGCCATCCATTTTTGGGTCATGTTATGAGAAGAGGGAAACTGGAACATGCTGTTCGGAAATTCTGTTCCTTGGCCGATTTGTTCATGCCTAGAGGCTTTCGTAACCCGAGTTACCACTGTTGTACTTGTCAGTGTCTCCGATATTTTCTCAGTCCATGTTCTGCGGGGTCAAGCTCTAGCTCTGCTACCGTTGCATCTGTATAATAACATTGCTCACTGTGGGGGCCTTGTCGCTTGTCAGTCTTGTTACATGACCAAACCATTTGATCCGTTGTCAACCGATAAAGTTCAGTACCGGTTCTGTGCCGAATCTCCTCCTGGTATCATCGTACTAAGTCTATATGTTCTTGTTACACCTCGCACATTACGTTAATACTTCTTTTCTGAATAAACTTCCAGTAGAAAAGCTCAGTCCTCTAGTTAACCAACAAAATAACTAAGGCAAATATAATGATACGAAAGTTGAGCTCTCATGCGGTAGACCCGGTTTCGATCCTTAGTGAAGCATGGAGATATTTTTCTTTAGGGAAATTTTTAAAAAATTCCAGTTCCACCATTCCCCCCCCCCCCTTTCTCCCCCAAACCAACCAGATTTTGTTTAATTAACATTTAATTCTTCGAGACCGGGGAAGGGGGTTAGCATCAGAGGCCAAAGGTATGGTAGTGCAATTCTGAAATGTCACAATTGTACACATTAAAACAGGCCATGCTGATTTAATTGAGGCGCAACATACACATATTTTACATCAAAGTGACCAGGGATTGTCGGGGAATAATAATTAGAATACTGCTACCAAAATCAACTGTGTTAGTAGTTAATTATTAGTAAATGAACAGATGATATGTTTTGAGAAATTAGTAAAAAGAAAATGTTTCCACTTACCACCATGGCACTAAAGGAAAACTAGATACAATATATCCAAAGTGAATCACAACTCGACAAAATATATCCAAAATGAAACAAACGAACATGAAGCACGCAGTAATGTATAAATAAAATTTAAACACAATCTGTTCATGAAATGACAAGAATCACACGGGTAGAAACCCGGGAACCTCCGTTCAACCGTTAAATCAGAGCACCACAACACGGTTACGAGGTCACCTGAACTCCAGTCTGGACTGGTTAATTAAAAACTGAACATGGGCAGTTTCTATGACCTGTGGTCAGCTTCCTGTCCCAGTATTGGACATCATCATCATCATCATCCCGTAACTCTACGTGTCGTTGGGTCAACAGTTTCTGTTGACTGATCATCTCTCTCCACCTTTGGCGGTCAGTTGCGATGGACTTCATGGTTGCGTGCCTGAGGCCTGTCCAGTCAGTCAGGTTCTGTACCCAGTTCTTTCTTGGTCTGCCTCTTTCCCTCTACTGAGCCCTGCAGTATTGTTTTTGAGAGGCCGTTATATCTTATTACATGTCCATACCATTACATTGTTCTCCTTTTCACTGTAGTTAAAAGAGGTTCATAGTTGCCAATGTGATGTATAATTTTATGGCGAACCTCTTCGTCTGTAATTTGGTCTCTGTATGATATGCCAAGAATGTTTCTGAAACATCGCATTTCTAATACTTTAATCTTTCTTTCAAGTTCAGCTTTTAAGGTCCACGTTTCACAGCCATATGTTAATTTACTAACAGCTTGTGCTCTGAGAAATCGATTCCTAATTTTGCATGAATTGTTTTTGGGTCTCCATTAATGTCTGCTGCTTGGCAATGACTGATTTTGTCTGGGCAATCCTAGATGCACCATGCTGTTGACAAATTAATAAATTACATACAAATAAATGTGCCCACTGGTAAACAATGCAATGAGAAGCCAAACCATACGAGGTATATACAAAACGGGAAGGAGGGAACAGAACACGAGACAGACCAATGGAAAGATGAAACCGTAACACCAGAGAAACTACAACAGCACGACATACAGACCAAGGGAAAGATGAAACCGTAACATCAGATAAACTACAACAGCACAACATACAGACCAAGGGAAAGATGAAACCGTAACATAAGAGAAACTACAACAGCACGACATACAGACCAAGGGAAAGATGAAACCGTAACATAAGAGAAACTACAACAGCACGACATACAGACCAAGGGAAAGATAAAACCGTAACATCATAGAAACTACAAAAGGAGGACACACAGACCAAGGGAAAGATAAAACCGTAACATAAGAGAAACTACAACAGCACGACACACAGACCAAGGGAAAGATGAAACCGTAACATCAGAAAAACTACAACAGTAGGACACACAGACCAAGGGAAAGATAAAACCGTAACATCAGAAAAACTACAACAGTAGGACACACAGACCAAGGGAAAGATAAAACCGTAACATCAGAAAAACTACAACAGTAGGACACACAGACCAAGGGAAAGATGAAACCGTAACATCAGATAAACTACAACAGTAGGACACACAGACCAAGGGAAAGATAAAACCGTAACATCAGATAAACTACAACAGCACGACACACAGACCAAGGGAAAGATAAAACCGTAACATCAGAAAAACTACAACAGTAGGACATAGTCTTAAGTCGAGGTTATCAAAACAACAGGGAGTAGAAACTTGTATCTCCCTCGACACCCACTACTAAAAAGCAGAAAATAAATGAAATTGTCAAATGCGAAATCCTGTGTATCTGTCTTTAGATTATTGCTTTGGTACGTATATCGACAGACAGGCATACAGAGAGAGGGAGAGAGAGAAAAGAAATGAACGAACTAAGTTTATTCTCAAAGTACTGCAGGCCAGTTGTACATTCATGCCTTCCAAACACTCCTCATTCCCCAGCAAACAGTTTTTTTTTATCAATACAGCACGTCACGTACATATAACAATATACACCATATGAATATCAAGTAAAACATACAATTTTCAATCTTGATTTGGGGAATCCGGTTCAATATCAGGGAAAGGCTACACGGATGTACAATCAGACAGTTATTTATACAATCGGAATTTTAACTCTTCGCTTGCTGCTGAAGATAGAGACTGAACGCTTATGGGGGTGTCCCGAGTGCTATGATGTGGATTTGTAATTAAAGATGCAACACATCAAGTAAAACATAAAAGCAAATAATAATACAAACACAGACAGACAGACTTACGGATGGACAGACAGACAGCCAGCCAGGCAAACAGACGGACAGACAGACAGACAGACAGACAGACAGACAGACAGACAGACAGACAGACAGACAGACAGACAGACAGACAGACAGACAGACAGACAGACAGACAGACAGACAGACAGACAGACAGACAGACAGACAGACAGACAGACAGACAGACAGACAGACAGACGCATAGCTGCTCGTATTTATACATATTCCTACACCCTGTCTATTGTCCTTCACTTACAGGGGCGTTTCTCATTCCATATTTCACAACTTTAATCTTCGGGGCCATGCCGGTGTTTTTTATGGAAATGTGTCTCGGTCAGTTCAACAGATGCGGGCCCACTGCTGTCTGGGAGAAGATGTCACCCATGTTTAAAGGTCAGATATGCTTGAATGAAAGTCAAAATGCTTTGGTGATTATTGTTTCACGATAAAACTTTTCTTGACTGAAAGTCAAAATGTTTTGGTGTTCAAAGGTAATATATTTCTTGACTGAAAGTCAAAATGTTTTGGCATTTAAAGGTAAAATAGTTATTAAATGAAAATGAAATAAAGCCGTGTTATTTTTTTATTGCTTCATCATCAATCAGCACCACAATCAAGATCATCTTTTCCGTGTTGGTTGTGGGGCCTCATTGTATTTGTATGGGGAAGGGAGGGGAATAGAGCCACTGGCCCCTCCTGCGCATATCGTAATAGTCCTCTGAAGTCGGTGTGCATCTGCCAGCGAGGCAATTAGCCAATAGTCTGCATACTAATAAGCCAGGTCTGTAAAGCGGATGTGCACGCAAAACTCAAGTCCTGGAACTAGACCAAAGTCCAAAAAGGGACAAACAACCGGAACTTTCCTGCCGGAGTTTACAGCTGATAAAAGAAAAGAAGGCCAAAAAGGGAACAAACAACCGGAACTTTCCTGCCGGAGTTTACAGCTGATAAAAGAAAAGAAGGCCAAAAAGGGAACAAACAACCGGAACTTTCCTGCCCGAGTTTACAGCTGATAAAAGAAAAGAAGGCCAAAAAGGGAACAAACAACCAAACTTTCCTGCCGGAGTTTACAGCTGATAAAAGAAAAGAAGGCCAAAAAGGGAACAAACAACCGGAACTTTCCTGCTGGAGTTTACAGCTGATAAAAGAAAAGAAGGCCAAAAAGGGAACAAACAACCGGAACTTTCCTGCCGGAGTTTACAGCTGATAAAAGAAAAGAAGGCCAAAAAGGGAACAAACAACCGGAACTTTCCTGCCGGAGTTTACAGCTGATAAAATAAAAGAAGGCCAAAAAGGGAACAAACAACCGGAACTTTCCTGCCGGAGTTTACAGCTGATAAAAAAAAAGAAGGCCAAAAAGGGAACAAACAACCGGAACTTTCATGCCGGAGTTTACAGCTGATAAAAGAAAAGAAGGCCAAAAAGGGAACAAACAACCGGAACTTTCCTGCCGGAGTTTACAGCTGATAAAAGAAAAGAAGGCCAAAAAGGGACAAACAACCGGAACTTTCCTGCCGGAGTTTACAGCTGATAAAAGAAAAGAAGGCCAAAAAGGGAACAAACAACCGGAACTTTCCTGCCGGAGTTTACAGCTGATAAAAGAAAAGAAGGCCAAAAAGGGAACAAACAACCGGAACTTTCCTGCCGGAGTTTACAGCTGATAAAAGAAAAGAAGGCCAAAAAGGAAACAAACAACCGGAACTTTCCTGCCGGAGTTTACAGCTGATAAAAGAAAAGAAGGCCAAAAAGGGAACAAACAACCGGAACTTTCCTGCCGGAGTTTACAGCTGATAAAAGAAAAGAAGGCCAAAAAGGGACAAACAACCGGAACTTTCCTGCCGGAGTTTACAGCTGATAAAAGAAAAGAAGGCCAAAAAGGGACAAACAACCGGAACTTTCCTGCCGGAGTTTACAGCTGATAAAAGAAAAGAAGGCCAAAAAGGGACAAACAACCGGAACTTTCCTGCCGGAGTTTACAGCTGATAAAAGAAAAGAAGGCCAAAAAGGGAACAAACAACCGGAACTTTCCTGCCGGAGTTTACAGCAGATAAAAGAAAAGAAGGCCAAAAAGGGAACAAACAACCGGAACTTTCCTGCCGGAGTTTACAGCTGATAAAAGAAAAGAAGGCCAAAAAGGGACAAACAACCGGAACTTTCCTGCCGGAGTTTACAGCTGATAGAAGAAAAGAAGGCTAAAAAGGGACAAACAACCGGAACTTTCCTGCCGGAGTTTACAGCTGATAAAAGAAAAGAAGGCCAAAAAGGGACAAACAACCGGAACTTTCCTGCCGGAGTTTACAGCTGATAAAAGAAAAGAAGGCCAAAAAGGGACAAACAACCGGAACTTTCCTGCCGGAGTTTACAGCTGATAAAAGAAAAGAAGGCCAAAAAGGGAACAAACAACCGGAACTTTCCTGCCGGAGTTTACAGCTGATAAAAGAAAAGAAGGCCAAAAAGTGACAAACAACCGGAACTTTCCTGCCGGAGTTTACAGCTGATAAAAGAAAAGAAGGCCAAAAAGGGAACAAACAACCGGAACTTTCCTGCCGGAGTTTACAGCTGATAAAAGAAAAGAACGCCAAAAAGTGACAAACAACCGGAACTTTCCTGCCGGAGTTTACAGCTGATAAAAGAAAAGAAGACCAAAAAGAGACAAACAACCGGAACTTTCCTGCCGGAGTTTACAGCTGATAAAAGAAAAGAAGGCCAAAAAGCCCGTCGTCATCATCATCATTACCAGCGTCCACGTTTTCAGAATTACTATCATCGCCGTGATTATTATCATTTTTATTATTTTTCTCATCACCATGATTATTATAATTGCTATTTTTTTTTTTTTTTTTTTTTTTTGTTATTTTATTTCTCATCGTTATGATTATTTAAAATTGTTCTTATTTTATTATTTCTCTCATTGTAGTGATTATTATTACTTTATTATTAATCTCATTGCCATAATTATTATAATTTTTATTATTTTTTAGTCCCTTATGATTATCAACATTGTAATATTTTTTTTTAAATTCTCATCACCTTGATTATCATCATTTTTATTGTTTTCATTATTATTCTCATCACTTTAATAAATAATCATTGTTATTATTTTATTTTTATTCTCCTCGCCATGATTATTATCATTTTTATTATTTTTCTCATCGCTACGATTATTATAATTTTTATTATTACTCTCATCACCATGATTATTATCGTTTGTATTATTTTTCTCATTGGCATGATTATTATAATTGTTATTTTTTTTTTCATCACCATGATTTCTTTTTCATTTTTATTGTTTTAATATTATTAAAATTAACACGAATAGTATTATTTTGATTATTTGTATTATATTCTCATCACCGTGATTATTGTCATTGTTATTTTTATCATTATTATAATTAACACGGTTATTATTATTCTCATCGCCATGATTATTATTATATTTTATATTTGTGTAATTATTTTCATCACAATGATTATTATCATTTTTTTAGTTATTATTCTAATCGCCATGATTGTTACCATTTTGACGATTTTTCTCATTATTATGGCTATTATTATCATAGCCACGATTATTACCATGTTGATTATTTTTTTCTCATCATTATGACTATTATTCTTATCATCGTTATAACTATCATTATCGTGCTGACTATTTACTCGTGTCCCCCATAAGGTATCGGCATCGCCTCCTGCTTCATGGCGTACATCGTCGCCTTCTACTACAACGTCATCATCGGCTGGAGCTTCTTCTACCTCTTCGCCTCCTTCACCTCCAAGTTGCCGTGGACAAGCTGCTTTAACCACTTCAACAGCGACAATTGCTGGCAGATTGACTGGGACACCAACATTACGTCGGTGGGAAACCCGGTTCAATACCAGGCCGATGACGTCACGGTGGTTCCCAGCGAGAGCGGGGATTCCCGACCTTTCAATCGGACGTATAATGCGTCTTCATCGGTCTCATCTACAATGGAATATTTCGAGTGAGTTTTCTCCTTCTCATCCTTCCTCATTTCATTCTCTTTCTCGTTTACCTCCTTCTCGTCTACATCCGCCTCCACCGCCTCCTCCAAATCTTCATCCTCTTCATTGAACAAAAAAACCCATTACCTCCTCCTCCAGCTCCTCCTCTTATTCCTTCAAATTCTCCTCTTTCTCTTCCACACCCTCCTCCATCTTCTCCACTTCTTCCTTAACCTCTTCCACATCATCCTCCTTCTTATTCTCCTCTTAATTAATTTCTTCCTTCTTTTTCTCTATCCCATCCTCCTCCATCGTGTCCTGCTCTTCCTCCATCTGATCCTATTTATTCTTTTCCTCCTTCTCCTCTTCCTCGTCCTACTTTCCCCACCTCCTCCATTTCTATCGCCATGACTCCTGACACCAAGTGTCTGCAGGTCTGTCTGGACATAATCTCGCTGTCGTCTTCATGGTCTGCCTTGTGATCTACGACCATTTATCTCCCTGGTGTATACAGTTTTTACTTCTCTGTCATCTGAAATTATTTCAATATGCCCCAACTGTTTCAGTCTATAAGTTCTCATGCTGCCAGTGATCAATGGTGATTAAAACAGATTATGAATTTCCTTATTGCTTCTCACTCTCCATCCCCGCTGTTAGCATCTTTGATGGGTCTAAAGATTCGTCGAAAGACTCTGTTTTCGAAAACCTTTAAAAAGGCCTAATCTCTTTTAGTTGCGCTCCAAGTTTTAGAGCCATAAAAAACGACTGATCTTATCAACGTTTCATAGATTTTGATCCATCCCACGTCGCATTGTGGAAATTTAATTCCACCAATTTTAGTCTAAAATGTTTACAGACCATTCGGCACTTATTGGGCGATGTCAACATCCTGCCGACCGCTTTCACTTCACAGTACATTACCAGTGCCAATTTTGCTGGGTCGATATCGGGGGGGGGGGGGGGGGGGGGGGGGGTGTGGGCGGATTCGGGGGCAGGGCTGTAAAAGCTGCTTCCCAGGACTGCCATTGCTCGGTTCGGCATTCCCCAACTCCCCCCCCCCCCCCTTTTTTCCTTTTTTTTTTTTCCTTTTTGCATCCAGCTTCCCCATCTTCGGTGAACGTTGTTCCCAGATATTTAAACTCTGAGTTGAATTGAGTCAAGAATTGACATCACAGCACATGGGGCATTTCTATGTGTGCTCCGTTCTCATCTTCAGCAGCCAGCGCAGAGTTCCAATACAGATGGTACCAGTCACAATCTGGTTATATGTCTGTCTTGCCTTTCCTATTAGTGTAGTGAGCCGGCCAGACACTCTGGTTACACCCAGGTGCCTCATTCTCTCCAGGCCATAATAATCTTGTTTCTCTACTGATTCCGTTGCTTGTTCCCAGAAAGCCTTGACCACGTCTGCCTTGTCATTTATCAAATCACCACCCAGGGGTGTAGATCCAGCCAGTCTGTCTGCCTGTTCATTACCAACTAAGCCGGCATCGCCTGGAGAAACGAGAAACTCTGATCCATGTGTAATGCCTTTACACTCTACTGACCACTGGTCATTCAACAAGAAATATGAGACTGGCATCATTTGCCCAAACCTTTGCAAATTTTGTACTGACTGTACTATTCGGTGCGTCCGTGGCTTAGCGTTGAGAGCCCAACTCGTAATTCCAGCGTACCGCGATCGAAACCCACTGCTGGCTGATTGGATTTTTATCGTGGTATGGAGCGTCTCATGTCGATCCAGCTTAAAATGGGGACCAGGATGGATGTCTTGGGAAAGTAAAGACGGCCGGCGTGATGCTGACCTACCCAGTGCCGATTGGTCTGTACAAAAATGGAGTGCTCTTCCCGTATGCCCGATGCGCCTAAAGGCGTGAAAGGGGATCTTTAGTTTTTTCTACTTACTATTCGGTAGGCGTCTGTAGCTTAAGAAAAATATACACATTTACAGGTTATCAGTTGCCGCTCTTGGCAGTGGTGAAAAAGTCGTAAACTGGCTTGATGCGGGAAGTAGTGAGACATGATTCGATTGCAAAGACTGCTTCAAGTAACACTGGGGGGGGTCAGGGTGGGGGTGGGGGAGGGGGGGTAGTCGAAGAAGACGGGTGGGGTGGGGGCAGGCGGGCAAAAAAAGAACCTGGAAAGACAATATCAAGAAATGCACAGGACTAAGTAATCATACACTTATTTCTCAATCGGAAGACAGAGAAAGATGACAAGTTTTATGTGCCAGTGCTTTCATCGATACAACTCCACAACCCTAACGGGTCAAGGGTTATGCCATGTTTGTTCTGTAGCTTAAGCGTCGTGAACGCGCTTTAATGCCGTAAGGGGGGGGGGGTGTGACGGGGTCGATCCCAGCTACATGCGATTTAGCAGCAGACCACATTGCTTTAGTTTCTACAGTGGTATCGATGATTGCCGACAGCAATGGCAAACTACTAGACGTAAATTTGATTTAAAACACACACACACACACACACACACAGCCAGGCTGGGGTTGGTTCTGTATTAATAAAGTAACAGAAAATGTATTGATCGGCACTCATAGAAAGAAGTAGAAAGATAGAAGAACACACTAGACAACATAACAATCGAGAACTATAGTTACCGTGCCGGGAATCGAACCTGTCATCTCCAGACGGCGTGTGCGCCTCGCTATGGAAACACGTGCACTAACAACATGGTCAACTAGGCACACCCCTCCACCACCACCCCCCCCCCTCTTCAATAGGTGTCTTATTGGACATGTCTATTGTACAGATAGATCCACAATTTTCGAAAACCACAGATTTCATTTCAAACCATTGAAATGGCACCATAGGTTACAGAAATTTATATTAACGAAGCAAAGATGGAATAACAAACACAGCAACAATTTACGAACACAGTTAACCTTAATGCCTTGTCTATTGGTTCTGCAACGTCCTGAAAAGGATACGCAACTAACTTTACTATTGGTCCATCTCCGCAGGTTGTTTACGTCACAGCGACCCTCCCTTACGTCATCATGACGATTCTGTTGGTGCGAGGCGTGCTGCTGCCTGGCGCTGGTGATGGTATCCGGTATTTCATCACACCCAACATTGACCGACTGCGCAAGCCTAAGGTAAGCATTTTGCCCGGCTCTCTAGCGTAGTTGGCTAAACCGGATTGCGCGGTGACCGGGTGACGAACTCCTTGTGGTCCGGGTTCACACACAGGGGTAAGCAGAAAAGCCACATTTCTCCCAGATTTACGGTATTTACAATGAAATCAAGGCCGAAAGATTGCGATATCCATAATACCGAACCTAAGGGTTAACAGCTTATGGCTTCTGGATACTAAAACAACCAAACAAACAAGGTAAGCATTTCACATTTATTTTTATTAAAATTGTGAAACGCAACCAGGTAAATATGAATACTAAAAGAGAATACTTTAATTGTGTACGTCGGCTTCTAGATTTTATAGGGAATTACTAGTGTACTGGAAGCGAAAGCAGAAGTACCAGGAAAAAATAATTAAAAAAAAAAAAAAAGAGTTTGTTGGGCGGGGGACTAGAACCAGAAACCAGACATGAGATCTTTTGTATACAGTCTAGATAGCAGTAACAGTAAACTAGACTACTAACCACAAATCCTAATCTGAATCAACACAACTGGAACTATACTTAGCACATTCAACATCTGTTTATTTCACAGAACATAAGCTAAGTTCTCCACAAATAATAATGCTGTAAAATTCACAACGTTTTGAAAAATACCCTACAACAGATGGAACCTATTTCTGCCTACACACCTCAACCCCTGAACACAACAGGAAAATCAGAAATACATGTTAGTCGTACGAACAGCAGAGGCCTAAGAGAGCGAAGGGGTCGCTCTCATATCTTTTATCACTTTCTGACCTCTAAGTTTGCCAGACTTTTGGTTCGCGTTAAGCCTAATCTAATAAAAATTTATGTAACAGCCGCTCTTGGTCTGTCACATTAGGGATCCCTAGGTGTTTCTCTGTACAGTACCATATTAATGAGGGGGGGGGGGGGGGTAAGGGTTAGGACTAGTGTTAAATGGATAGCGACTACTACTAAGCCTAACCCTAAACCCTTATACAATGGGATGTTCTGTGAATTTCCCTACCACATCATAAGCCGACAAGATGTGGTCGTATAAAATTAAAGTACCCTAAAAGAGCACTGTTTAATACAATATTCGTATCACCGCCGTGCTAGCAGTGTCAAACATGGACACTATCTTCAGTGAAGAGAAGGAAAACAGTTACGACTGAAATTACGACTTTGCTTGGTGTAACGAGGAAAGATCCACTTAGAAACGATGAAATCAGGAGGCCAATGGGCACGGCCAGACTCCCTAGTAATGCGGAAACAGAAGGACAGGAATTTAATACACAAATCTGGAGGTCCTTTTCCAACCTTTAGGTGTAAAGGAAATATGTTTTATAGTATCGATTGGTGGGTGACATCAGTATCGTGGCCGCCTTTAAAGGTCCACCTGGTACCCCACTCTGGGTCGACCTGGTCAATAATTTTTGAAAAACTTAGCTTCTAACAACCGACGACTTCCATCCGCATTAAATTAAACACACGGCGACTCCCTAGTAATGCAAACGATACAGGAATTTAATAATGCGATCTGGATCCTGAACCAAAAGGAAAGTGTTCTATAGTATCGATTCTCACATCAGTATCGTAACCATTAAAGGCCATCTCAGGTCAATAATTAGAAACTTAGCTTCAACAAGTTCCAGGATTAAATTAAACACACCATTAGCTGTGACTAAAAAGCTATTAAACTTATTAATATGGCGAAAGGGGGGAGGGGGGTTTACATACGCTAATCACAACCATTATGCACCTAGGGGGGGGGGGGGGGGGAAAAAAACCCTAATCATAAACCAGCTAACAAGGAAACTCGTGCTATCAGATTGTCTAATTAGTTCAAATTGTGAAATTGCCTAATTGACCTTTATGGTCTATGTTTGTTGGGTTACGACTAATGGATGTTCTCCTAATATCCTACCTGAAGCAGGGGGGGGGGATCCACAGGTTACGGGACAGTCTAATATTTCAAGGGGTGGTAGATAGGTTGCATGTAGTCGTGGGACCAAGGCTGCATGCAGTCGTGGGACCTAGGCTGCCCTCTCTCGTGGGACGTAGGTTAGTTCGGATTAGGGCCAATTCTAGATATGTTGGCATCGTTAAAAGCATCTGAAAGCCGGGAAACCCAGTCTTTCCACCCTCTAAAATGTTGGACTGTCCTTGACGTCATCTGGGGTGGGATATTACGAATGAACCGATTTGTGTTGCTCAGTGCGTTGATAAAGACGAAACGCTTTGATGTACGTTTACCTGTTTAAATGTTTGGTCAAAGCTATCTGTTTTACTAAAATTTATTAGTTTAAATAATGATACATGTATTTCTTACACTTATTAATGTGTATTTCTCATACCTGCCTTCTTATCTGTACACAATTTATAATTTCTAGGGTTTTAATTTATGTATGTTTTAAATCGAATATGTCAGGTTTGAATCAAAACCCCCAGTTCAAATTATTTTCTCCGTTGGTTCAGGTTACCGAAATCATATCGCCTTCTCCAGCTATCCTTATTAACCATGATGTTCATTTTCCTTTTTGTCATTGTATGCCACAACAGGAAAATGAGATGTAAACAACGGGGAACTGGGAATGAGAAGCAACAACGAAATTCTTAATCTATTATAAATTGTCATTGATTTCTGGCATCGTGAGTGCTAATAGATTGAAACAATATCTATTATTGAATCAAAGCCGAAGGGTTGCGATATCCAAAGTACCTAGCCAAAGGGTTTACAGCTCATGGTTTCTGGATTTTAAAAAAAAATGTGGCTGGAGCATAGTGAAAGAATTTCAGATGACAGAGAGGTTAAAAACTGTATACACAAGATAGATGAATGATCGTAGACCACGAGGCAGACCAAAAAGACGATGGAGAGATAATTTACATGCAGACCTGCAAACACTTGGAGTTAACAACTGGGAAAAGAAGGTCAACCAGAGAGATGAATGGAGGCAGTTGAACCTAAAGGGCTCGGAATGCTAAAGAAGAAGAGGAAGAATTTATTTATTTATTTGTATTGTAATTTGCCATGTTTGTATCGCGGCAGCTGTTCAGATTTTCTTCCCTGTTTGTTCAGAGGACCCACATCGCCTTATTAATGCCTGTTTGTATGAATTACTTCTTATCCTTCTGTATCCTTTCTTTTTCTTCGTTCGTCTCACTGATACCAGGTGGAAGCCCAGTGTTGTGGTTTTCTGTATTTGTCTAGCGCTTCTCGGGAGGCTTGGGTGATGGATTTGTTTATCTGTTTGCAGGTTTCAGCTGCCCCATTTATCCATCTCTTTCTCGGTCTTTCCCTCGCCTTACCCCCAGATGTTCTGCTGGGAAATTTATATATGCAGTTTGGTCTGGCTGCCTTCTCACTAGGTGGCTGAACAATTTTAATCTTTGTCAATATAATTCAGACAAGGTCTTATTCCAGCGTTCTCTTTAACTTTGGTATTCGTAACCCTGTCTCGTCTTGTGTTGTTAGTGACCTTGTGGAGATAGCGTGTTTCACATAAAGTTATTTTCTGTTATACAGTCCAGTTCATTGTCCATGTCTGGCACTGATAACATGAAGTAGGAATAAAGATGCTATTAATCGTTTGCTGTTTTGCTGGAATGGTGACATTTTGGTTTCTAAGCTTGTATTCTTTACCATGTTGCGTGGTCTCGAGGCAATGTGTTAGCCTCGAGTGCTATAGGTTCCGGGTTCAATCCCCGGTAAGGGCTGGGATTTTTTTACGTGAACTTGGACATCTAGTAATTCCCTCTGGTCTCTGGGTAGTGACATCTGACGCACGTGTGCATTGTTGCTCATGTAAACATTTCGTTGGCAGTCGGAAATCGAAAAGAGTAGCCTAACAGCGCTTTTCCGGGCAAAATTTGGTGTTAAAAATCTATTCAGAGTATTTCAGGATCCTCGCCGGTGCTACAGAGACTGTGCACTGTGCTGAGCTTTTTCAGACTGAAATTGAGTTAGAAGAAGAACGGAGCACCAAATGTTACAACCCTTTGCCATGATGCTGATCCGTTGTTCAAACTTCAAATTCATTTACTTTATGTTTTCATTGTCTAATGTGCCAGGTGTGGATCGACGCTGCAGTTCAAATCTTCTTCTCTGTTGGTTCAGGTTTCGGGACACACATCGCCTACGCCAGCTACAATAAATTTCACAATGACTGCAAAAGGTAAGTTTTAAAAAGGGTAGGAAATTATAGGAAAGAGAAGAAAAACGGGGTGAGAAAAAAAACAAATATTTTATGTCAGCTGTACAGAATCAATTACAACGAACATACAAAGGACGTTGCGTCAATTAGCCTTCATCAGTACATTAAGACAACACAGCACACATAGAAAATATATATACACTAACGATGAAATGACTACATTAGACTATTATGTTAAATGTTAGTTGCGTATCCTTTACATGGCATTGCAGAACCCACACCAGCATCTTTAGGCTGTTGTGGTTTTTCTAGGCAAATTTACGTCCAGTAGCTTGTCATTTATTCTGGACGGTCGGCTTCTCGATACCACTTTCGAAACTAACGCAAGGCGCAAGGCCCGCAGCTAGGATCGAACCCGTCACCCCGGCATTACGAAGTGCGTTCGCGACGCCTAAGCAACGGGACGCCGACAGACTGTTATGTACTAAATTTTAAAAAATGATACTCATCTGTGTCCCTGCTGAAAAACTCAACAGTGAACAAACTGATTGATTGATTGATTGATTGATTGATTGATTGATTGATTCACGATGTCCACGTTTAACCTAGGGTAGAAGAGTCTAGCCCTTCGCCCTTCCCGGTTATGTGGTGGTTTCGCATAGTTAAAATATCTCATCAGGTTTTGTGTTTTTGCTTTCTGTCTCCGCTTCAATCTTCGGGTAGTTATTTCATGTTGCCTATTCTCACTTCAGCTGGATGGTCTGGCCGTGGTGGGTTGGTTTGTCGGCAAAGTTGGTCCCCTTGCTCTCTGGTAGGGCTACTTGTTTTATGAGGTGGGGAGGACAGCCCTAAAAAGGGCTGTCGGTTTTTTTTTCCTGGGGCGGCACTCCGTCTGGTAGGTGGGTGGGGGGGGGGGGGATGTCGCCTGCGGCGTTTGTGCATGCAAAATAGTTCGACCTATGAATAGGATGTGTACACAACAACTCAGTTTCTGGAACAGGACTAGAGTCTAGATGTGGACGAACAACCAAAACTTTCAGCCAGAGTTAACAGCGATAAACGCTAAGAAAAAAGAAGAATACATTAGGGAAAAAAAAAGAACTTTGCTCTCTTACACTTTTTTCCAGGGGCGGGGAGGTACGGATGGGGGCTGGGGGATGGGGGCTGGGGGCTGGGGGATGGGGGCTGTACAAAGTCACTTAGTTTCCATCTCTTCCCCCCCCCCCCTCCCCCTAATTTCCAACTCTCCCCACCCCCCCCTCCCCCCCCCCCTGCAATTAAACATACTCACGCAAAGATCTGTCCGGTCATCTCCTCCAGGGACTGCATCATCACCGTGATCGTCAACTCCTTCACCAGCATCTTCAGCGGGTTTGTCATCTTCTCCTACCTCGGCTACATGTCGCTGAAGACCAACAAGGAGATTGACAAAGTGGCCACGGAAGGTATAGTATTCGTGTTTACAAAACAAAGTTATAGTATTCGTGTTTACAAAACAAAGTTATAGTATTCGAGTGTAGGAAACAAAGTTATAGTATTTGTGTTTACGAAACAAAGTTATTGTATCTTTGTTTATGAAGCAAAGTTAAAGAATTTGTGTTTATGAAACAAAGTTATAGTATTTGTGTTTACAAAACAAAGTTATAGTATTCGAGTGTACAAAAAAAGTTAAAGTATTTGTGTTTACGAAACAAAGTTATAGTATTCGTGTTTACGAAACAAAGTTATAGTATTTATGTTTACCAAACAAAGTTATAGCATTCGTGTTTACGAAACAAAGTTAAAGTGCGCTTTGAAAACTCTTACCCTCACACTTTAACCAATATCTCGAAAACTCATGTATGAATGAGATTCAACCTCGCCAGGACATCCCACAGCGATAAACACTCGATGACACAAAGTGCCACCATACGGATGAGGTTCACCCGGGGAGAAGTCCCAGAAACCCAGTATAACCATTATGTTATTTTAGGGCCCCCGACTAAAGCCGGGTGGGGCTTTAAAATATTGAAAAATTGCGTTCTGTATCGAGACGACAGATGGCGTCATTGAAAACACCTGTATCGAGACGATAGATGGCGTCATTGAAAACACCTGTATCGAGACGACAGATGGCGTCATTGAAAACTCCTGTATCGAGACGATAGATGGCGTCATTGAAAACACCTGTATCGAGACGATAGATGGCGTCATTGAAAACTCCTGTATCGAGACGACAGATGGCGTCATTGAAAACTCCTGTATCGAGACGACAGCTGGCGTCATTGAAAACACCTGTATCGAGACGACAGATGGCGTCATTGAAAACTCCTGTATCGAGACGACAGATGGCGTCATTGAAAACACCTGTATCGAGACGACAGATGGCGTCATTGAAAACTCCTGTATCGAGACGACAGATGGCGTCATTGAAAACTCCTGTATCGAGACGATAGATGGCGTCATTGAAAACACCTGTATCGAGACGACAGATGGCGTCATTGAAAACTCCTGTATCGAGACGACAGATGGCGTCATTGAAAACTCCTGTATCGAGACGATAGATGGCGTCATTGAAAACACCTGTATCGAGACGACAGATGGCGTCATTGAAAACTCCTGTATCGAGACGACAGATGGCGTCATTGAAAACTCCTGTATCGAGACGATAGATGGCGTCATTGAAAACACCTGTATCAAGACGACAGATGGCGTCTTGTAAAACTCCTGTATCGAGACGATAGATGGCGATGATGAGTAAACTCCTGTATCGTATGAAACGCATTGTTACATATGGCGTTAGAATGTCCACGTGTTTATAATTTTATAATTTTCAATGCACAGATGGTGCTGTTTTCGTAAGGCGGTAAATTTATTTGATCTTTGCTTGACTGATAATTTGTGTACCTCTAAAATCACCTTAACTCATAATAAAAGTCAGAGGTGTTATTTTAGGGCAAGTACAGAAATTGAAGTATCAAGGCACATAGATAACATCCAACGGAAAAGGTATCACAGAAGTAAAGAACAGAATAGGATAGGCAAAAAAGCGGCTTTTAAAAAATGAAGAGCATTTTGTGAATTAATCCACGGCACTGGAGGTTAGGAAAACAATTCACCCATTCTATTTAGAGCCAGTTTAAACATACGGCTAATTAATAAACAAACCAAACAATATATCAAGGCCTCTGAGATGTGGTTTTATAGAAGAACGATAGCTACAGACAGAATTAAACTGTTGCCATCATATTTAATTATAATAAATTTTGGGACAGCACGACATATTTAGACCTAATTAAAATGTCTCTATCATATGTAATTTTAGCAAACTATGGGACAACGTGACACTACAGAAAAATGTTAAACTTTTGCCAGAATTTGTAACCACAACAAAACAATGGGACAGCAGGGTCCTACAGAAGAGAAAAAGTTGACTGCGTATTTTCTCAAACGAGCGGAGCTTGTCAATTATAAAAATCGCTTTGGCTTGTAGGTGGACCCAGTCTGAATTGGATACCGGGTAAAGTCCTTGGAAGTAAAGGCGGCGAGCGTGATGTTGATCACACCACCCACAGAGTGCAGATTGGTCTATAAAATGTGGGTCTCGCCCTTTGTGCACAGAGTCTGAAGGCGCGGGAAAGGGTCATTTACATTTTTCTTACTTACGATATGTACTATAAAAAACTAAGGGACAACATGAAACCAACAGAAAGAAGTAAACTTTTGGTATTTGCAACTACAGCCGACTATGGAACGATAACACGAAACTACAGTAAAAAGTAATTTTCATAGCGTATGTCAACTATCGGAAAGACAGTTCGACGTCTACAGAAAAAAATAAACAATTCCTATTCTTAAAACAATGAGAAAGAACTGGACAACACTCAACATACAGACAGAATGAAACTGTTGCCATCATATGTAATTATACCAAACTATGGGACAACACTCAACATACAGACAGAATGAAACTGTTGCCATCATATGTAATTATACCAAACTATGGGACAACACTCAACATACAGACAGAATGAAACTGTTGCCATAATATGTAATTATACCAAACTATGGGACAACACTCAACATACAGACAGAATGAAACTGTTGCCATCATATGTAATTATACCAAAAACTATGGGACAACACTCAACATACAGACAGAATGAAACTGTTGCCATCATATGTAATTATACCAAACTATGGGACAACACTCAACATACAGACAGAATGAAACTGTTGCCATCATATGTAATTATACCAAACTATGGGACAACACTCAACATACAGACAGAATGAAACTGTTGCCATCATATGTAATTATACCAAACTATGTACAACACTCAACATACAGACAGAATGAAACTGTTGCCATCATATGTAATTATACCAAACTATGGGGACAACACTCAACATACAGACAGAATGAAATGTTGCCATCATATGTAATTATACCAAACTATGGGACAACACTCAACATACAGACAGAATGAAAAGTTGCAGCATCATATGTAATTATACCAAACTATGGGACAACACTCAACATACAGACAGAATGAAACTGTTGCCATCATATGTAATTATACCAAACTATGGGACAACACTCAACATACAGACAGAATGAAACTGTTGCCATAATATGTAATTATACCAAACTATGGGACAACACTCAACATACAGACAGAATGAAACTGTTGCCATCATATGTAATTATACCAAACTATGGGACAACACTCAACATACAGACAGAATGAAACTGTTGCCATAATATGTAATTATACCAAACTATGGGACAGCATGCCGCCTACAGACAGAAATAAACTATTGCCAGCCGATATAACATTAACAAACTCATCATGTGCTGCAAGAAGTCTCTTACACAACACTTTCAAGACACTTTGACCTGACATTAACTTCAAAGAACAAATATACAGGATCACTCAAGTTTTGATTAAGTTATGAACAAACCAGCCCCCGTTTTACATTATTATCTAAAAGGCGGCAACGTTAATTGATAATTTAATGAACATGTTTCTAATTTACTTTAAGAAAGTTTTATGTAGTTGCTTTTTTTTTTTCTCAGCGAGAAGGTTAATATTGGAAATTGGTTACTTAATTGCAGTTGCAATTATGCGTCATTTTCATTTGTTGCTGTCTTTTGCAAGATTGCATTTGCTGCTACATATCATTCGTGCAATATTGCAACAGACTTGATCTCTTTGTTGCAATATTAGGATCTGTAAAGCTCATGTTTCAGCAGACGACTATATAAAAAAAAATGTAACAAAAGAGCATGTTAGTATAGGTTAGTATATCTCCTAGTTGCCCATTGTCAAGTCATCATCAACCCAATTTAAGTCAACACGACTCCAGTAAAGTCAGCATCACCCCACTAAAGTCAACATCACCCCTGTAAAGTCAGCATCACCCCAGTAAAGTCAGCATCACCCCACTAAAGTCAGCATCACCCCACTAAAGTCAGCATCACCCCACTAAAGTCAGCATCACCCCACTAAAGTCAGCATCGCCCCACTAAAGTCAGCATCACCCCACTAAAGTCAGCATCACCCCACTAAAGTCAGCATCACCCCACTAAAGTCAGCATCACCCCACTAAAGTCAGCATCACCCCACTAAAGTCAGCATCACCCCAGTAAAGTCAGCATCACCCCAGTAAAGTCAGCATCACCCCACTAAAGTCAGCATCACCCCACTAAAGTCAGCATCACCCCACTAAAGTCAGCATCACCCCACTAAAGTCAGCATCACCCCAGTAAAGTCAGCATCACCCCAGTAAAGTCAGCATCACCCCAGTAAAGTCAGCATCACCCCACTAAAAGTCAGCATCACCCCACTAAAGTCAGCATCACCCCAGTAAAGTCAGCATCACCCCACTAAAGTCAGCATCACCCCAGTAAAGTCAGCATCACCCCACTAAAGTCAGCATCACCCCACTAAAGTCAGCATCACCCAACTAAAGTCAGCATCACCCCACTAAAGTCAGCATCACCCCACTAAAGTCAACATCACCCCACTAAAGTCAGCATCACCCAACTAAAGTCAGCATCATCCCACTAAAGTCAGCATCACCCCACTAAAGTCAGCATCACCCCAGTAAAGTCAGCATCATCCCACTAAAGTCAGCATCACCCCAGTAAAGTCAGCATCACCCAACTAAAGTCAGCATCATCCAACTAAAGTCAGCATCACCCCAGTAAAGCCAACATCACCCCAGTAAAGTCAACATCACCCCAGTAAAGTCAGCATCACCCCACTAAAGTCAGCATCACCCCACTAAAGTCAGCATCACCCAACTAAAGTCAGCATCACCCCACTAAAGTCAGCATCACCCCAGTAAAGTCAGCATCACCCCACTAAAGTCAGCATCACCCCACTAAAGTCAGCATCACCCAACTAAAGTCAGCATCACCCCACTAAAGTCAGCATCATCCCACTAAAGTCAGCATCACCCCACTAAAGTCAGCATCATCCCACTAAAGTCAACATCACCCCAGTAAAGTCAGCATCACCCCACTAAAGTCAGCATCACCCCACTAAAGTCAGCATCACCCCACTAAAGTCAACATCACCCCACTAAAGTCAACATCACCCCACTAAAGTCAACATCACCCCACTAAAGTCAACATCACCCCAGTAAAGTCAGCATCACCCCACTAAAGTCAGCATCACCCCACTAAAGTCAGCATCACCCCACTAAAGTCACATCATCCCCACTAAAGTCAACATCACCCCACTAAAGTCAGCATCACCCCACTAAAGTCAGCATCACCCCACTAAAGTCAGCATCACCTAACTAAAGTCAGCATCACCCCACTAAAGTCAGCATCACCCCAGTAAAGTCAGCATCACCCCACTAAAGTCAGCATCACCCCACTAAAGTCAGCATCACCCAACTAAAGTCAGCATCACCCCACTAAAGTCAGCATCATCCCACTAAAGTCAGCATCACCCCACTAAAGTCAGCATCATCCCACTAAAGTCAGCATCACCCCAGTAAAGTCAGCATCACCCCAGTAAAGTCAGCATCACCCCACTAAAGTCAGCATCATCCCACTAAAGTCAGCATCATCCCAGTAAAGCCAACAACATCCCAGTAAAGTCAGCATCATCCCACTAAAGTCAGCATCACCCCAGTAAAGTCAGCATCACCCCAGTAAAGTCAACATCATCCCAGTAAAGTCAGCATCATCCCACTAAAGTCAGCACCACCCCACTAAAGTCAGCATCACCCCAGTAAAGTCAGCATCACCCCAGTAAAGTCAGCATCATCCCACTAAAGTCAGCATCATCCCAGTAAAGTCAGCATCATCCCACTAAAGTCAGCATCACCCCACTAAAGTCAGCATCACCCCACTAAAGTCAGCATCATCCCACTAAAGTCAACATCACCCCACTAAAGTCAGCATCACCCCACTAAAGTCAACATCACCCCACTAAAGTCAACATCACCCCACTAAAGTCAGCATCACCCCACTAAAGTCAGCATCACCCCACTAAAGTCAGCATCACCTAACTAAAGTCAGCATCACCCCACTAAAGTCAGCATCACCCCAGTAAAGTCAGCATCACCCCACTAAAGTCAGCATCACCCCACTAAAGTCAGCATCACCCAACTAAAGTCAGCATCACCCCACTAAAGTCAGCATCATCCCACTAAAGTCAGCATCACCCCACTAAAGTCAGCATCACCCCACTAAAGTCAGCATCATCCCACAGTCAGCAACCCCAGTAAAGTCAGCATCACCCCAGTAAAGTCAGCATCACCCCACTAAAGTCAGCATCATCCCACTAAAGTCAGCATCATCCCAGTAAAGCCAACAACATCCCAGTAAAGTCAGCATCATCCCACTAAAGTCAGCATCACCCCAGTAAAGTCAGCATCACCCCAGTAAAGTCAACATCATCCCAGTAAAGTCAGCATCATCCCACTAAAGTCAGCACCACCCCACTAAAGTCAGCATCACCCCAGTAAAGTCAGCATCACCCCAGTAAAGTCAGCATCATCCCACTAAAGTCAGCATCATCCCAGTAAAGTCAGCATCATCCCACTAAAGTCAGCATCACCCCACTAAAGTCAGCATCACCCCACTAAAGTCAGCATCATCCCACTAAAGTCAACATCACCCCACTAAAGTCAGCATCACCCCACTAAAGTCAGCATCACCCCAGTAAAGTCAGCATCATCCCTCTAAAGTCAGCATCACCCCACTAAAGTCAGCATCACCCCAGTAAAGCCAACATCACCCCAGTAAAGTCAGCATCACCCCAGTAAAGTCAGCATCACCCCACTAAAGTCAGCATCACCCCAGTAAAGTCAACATCACCCCAGTAAAGTCAGCATCACCCCACTAAAGTCAGCATCACCCCAGTAAAGCCAACATCACCCCAGTAAAGTCAACATCACCCCAGTAAAGTCAGCATCACCCCACTAAAGTCAGCATCACCCCAGTAAAGCCAACATCACCCCAGTAAAGTCAGCATTACCCCAGTAAAGCTAACATCACCCCAGTAAAGTCAACATCACCCTAGTAAAGCCAACATCACCCCAGTAAAGTCAACATCACCCCAGTAAAGCCAACATCACCCCAGTAAAGTCAACATCACCCATGTAAGTAAACTCTAACTGATATCTTGTTACTTAGGTCCAGGTCTGGTGTTCATTGTCTACCCAGAAGCCATTGCGACACTTCCAGGTTCCGTTGGATGGGCCGTGATTTTTTTCTTCATGCTGTTAGCACTAGGACTGGACAGTGCGGTTAGTTTGTTTACTTAGTGAAGTCTGTAACTCCTTATTTGTCTTGAATGAGCGACAATAACTTTTGGGTCTTTATTAATATCCTACCCCAGATGACGTCATTAGAGAGTCCAACATTTTAGAGGGTGGTAAGACTTGGTTTTCCCGCTTTCTGATGCTTTTAACGTCTTCAAAACATCAAACACTGGCCATAACCCCAACCCACCTACGTCTCACGACAGAGTGCAGCCTAGGTCCCACAATTGCATGCAGACTATCTACCACTCCCTGAAATATTAGACTGTCCTGTGACCTGTGGATTTCCGCTGTTTAGGGTAGGATATTAATAAAGCACCTAATTTATAGGTTGCTGAAAGGACACCGCGGTCTTAAAGCAGAGTTAGTCGCGTATCCTTTACAGGACGTTGTAGAACCAACGCCAGCGATTTTTTGGCCGTTGTGGTTTTTCTAGGCAAATTTTACGTTCTGTAATCTGCTATTGCTCTCTAAAAGGTTAGTTATCGATATCACTGTCGAAATCAACGCAACGTGGAAAAAAAATCGCCTGCAGCAGGGATCGAACCCGGCACCCCGGCATTACAAAGCGCTTTCGCAACGCCTGAACCATTGACACGATAACCATACTATGCCGGCTCTGTGGCTAAGTCGATGCGAATGCTTTGTAATGCCGGGATGCCGGGTTCAATGCAGCTGCGGGCCACGCGCCTTGCGTTGGTTTCGACAGTGGGGTCCAGAAAGCCGACCGTCCAGGGAGCAATGGCAAACTACTGGATGTAAATTAGCCTAGAGAAACCACTCAACAGCCAGAGTCTGTTAGGGTTGGTTCTGCAACGTCCTGTAAAGGATACGCAACTAACCAATGTCAGACCAAGCATACCATATATTAGATCCTGCCTACATAAAAATGGTAATAGAGAATCTTACATGCAGCTTCGGAGCAGACATACAAACTCGCGAGCAGGTGCTACAATAATGCCCTTTCTACAGAAATGTCTCAGGGTAGAGATGAAACAGATACTTCATGAGAAGACAGTCAACAGACTAAACAGAAGGCAGTACACCACAATTTTCAACTAAGAACACGACGCTGCAGACTTCATGCACATATCCATAGAATATTTAACTGGATTATGACCGGTAACATCAGTATTGGAATATTGCGCTGACTGCTGGAGATAAGGACGGAGCATGCATGGGAATGCCCTGAGTGATGTGATGTCAATTCTTGACTCTTGACTCGTGCATAGAATAAAGTATGCACTTCCACACAGTTCCCCTGTCAAACTGCACCCCACACACCCGAACACATGCTGCAGAACTGTCACATACAGCAAAACCTGGGAGAAAACACATGCTCAGGGGGACGAGTCATCCAGGACCAAATTTAGAGACCTCCGAACACTTGCTCCAGGACAATCTTTAGGGAAGCCTTGAAGACTTGCTGATGGCATTCCGGTTCATGGAGGCAATACAACTGATAACCCGAGCATACGTAACCTAAGAAGAGGAATGCCTTGTCTACCCTTGGCAAAGATTTGGGATATGGCCGAAAAAAGCTACTTTGCATGAACAGCAACTACTATTGCTGCTACAACTACTGCTGCCCCAACTACTGCTGCCTGTATTACAATTACTGCTTCCGCTACCACTACGTGCTTTACTTTTAGTCATAATACTACATTTACTACTACTACTACTACTACTACTACTACTACTACTACTACTACTACTACTACTACTACTACTACTACTACTACTACTACTACTACTACTACTACTACTACTACTACTACTACTACTACTACTTCTACTACTACCACCACTACTACTAGTACTACTACAACAACTACCACCACCACTAACACTACTACTACTACTACTAATACTACTATTACTACTACTACCACCACTACTACTACTACTACTACTACTATTACTACTACTACCACCACCACCACTACTACTACTACTACTACCACCACCACCACCACCACTACTACTGCTACTACTAATACTACTACTACTATTACTACTACTACTTCACCACCACCACCACTACTACCTACTACTACTACTACTACTACTACTACCACCACCACTACTACTACTACTACTACTACTACTACTACCACCACCACCACTACTACTACTACTACTACTACGACCACCACCACCACCACCACTACTAATACTACTACCACCACCACCACTACTACTACTACTACTACCACTACTACTACTACCACCACCACCACTACTACTACTACTACTACTACTACTACTACTACTACTACTACTACTACTACTACTACTACTACTACTACTACTACTACTACAACCACCACCACCACTACTACTACTACTACCGCCACCACTACTACTACTACTACCACTACTACTACTACTACAACCACCACCACCACTACTACTACTACTACCACCACCACTACTACTACTACCATTACCACCATTACTACTACTACTACTACCACCATCACTGCTACTACTACTACTACTACTACTACTACTACTACTACTATCACCACCACCACCACTACTACTACTACTACCACCACCACCACCACTACTACTGCTACTACTAATGCTACTACTACTACTACCACCACCACCACCACCACTACTACTACTACTACTACTACTACTACCACCACCACCACCACCACCACTACTACTGCTACTACTACTACTACCACTACCACCACCACTACTACTACTACTACTACTACCACCATCACTACTTCTACTACTACTACTACTACTACTACTACCACTACTACTACTACTACTACTACTACTACTACCACCACCACTACTACTACTACTACTACTACCACCATCACTACTACTACTACTACTACCACCACCACCACTACTACTACTACTACCAAAACCACTACTACTACTACTACCACCATCACTACTACTACTGCTGCTGCTGCTGCTACTGCTGCTTCTACTACTACCACCACCACCACCACTACTACTACTACTACCACCACCACCACCACTACTACTACTACTACTACTACTACTACTACTACTACTACTACTACTACTACTACTACCACTAACACCATCACTACTACTACTACTACTACTACTACCACCACCACTACTACTACTACTACCACCACCACTACTACTACTACTACTACTACTACTACTACTACTACTACTACTACTACTACTACTACTACTACTACTACTACTACTACTACCACCATCACTACTACTACTACTGCTGCTACTACTTCTGCTTCTACTACTATCACCACCACCATTACTATTACTACTACTCCTTAAAATAATAATAATAATATTAATAACAGTAATACCATTATAATATTTAGGCATTGAAAGCTGGTCGACTCCAGGTTGGCTGTTGAAGAAGGCGACGTGGGCCAATGTTCCAGTACAGTGGTGTCAATTCTTGATCCATTCGTTCGTTCAAAGTTGGGGATTCCAGAAACTGGGCATCTGTTGTCATTATAGTTTAAAGTATTGATCGATCTATTTGTCAGTGTCAGTCAGTCAGTAGAGTTGATCGATCTGTTTGTCAGTGTCAGTCAGTCAGTAGAGTTGATCGATCTGTTTGTCAGTGTCAGTCAGTCAGTCAGTAGAGTGTCATTTTGCATAACCTTGCTCCCATACAACCCTCCGGAATGCATGATGTCCCGCGTTCGATACACCCATCTAGAGATCATCCGCCACATCCTGAACCCATCTTCTCTTTGGCTTTTCTCTACCTCTCTTCCCAGTCATAAACCCATCCATTATTGTTCAGTCTAAACTTTCGTGACAGTTCAATGGACTTTGTTTTCTTTCAGGGTGGTTATGGTTCCTTGGCAAGTTTTACAGAAGGTAGTTTGCCATTGCTTTCCTTCTGGGCAGTGACTGTACTAGACGGTCGCCATTTCCCGTGTCTCTTATCGTGTTTTACCCTCCGTATTACTGCCTAAAGGTTTAGCATACCATCATTATAATTTTTTTTTATCTCCTTCTGGATTGAGACTTCTTCTTATTCTTCTTCTTTTCTTTCCCCTTGTACCTCAGCGAAGTGTCGGGAGAAGATGTAACGTTCGTTGATAAGCTCTGTCAAAAGCATTTTCAAGATTAATGTTCATTTCTGTAAGGCTGTTCTTAATGCCATCACTCCATATTTTCCGAGGTCTTCCACTGGCTCTATACCCGTTGTAACGTTTCACTGTGGCTTGATTTGGCAGAAAGTACCAGAGCATTCTTGTAAGGTGTCC